CTGTCCCTCTCTATCGCCCAGCTTTTTACCGGACACCCGCTGCCGTAAATACCCGCTGACAATGACCATTTTGTGTGGGGGGCTTAGCGACCGAACATTCTGGAGAGCCGCCGAAAAAATCTCCGGTCCGGACGATCTCGACCGTCCGTTTCCATCTTCACCCACCTCCTACAGTGACAACAGGATTCTCCGCCTCCCCATTGCGCGGTTAAAGATAAGGATGCGGTGAGGGTACCGCTTCCCAAATCTGCCACTCTTATACGGAGAGGACCGGTGGGGGACTACGCAGTTGGAGAGATCTCCTGGAGTTGGAGGGCGCATTGGGGGTTTCTCGAGGTCCACAGTTGATTCTCTCGAGCCTGCCCTTGGGATTCGTGCACGAATGTAAAAGGTTCCGCGCTACCGCGTGTTGGGACGTTCAAGTTGTTCTATATACGTTTGCCGCGGTAGCGGCGGCAGAGGAGAGGTGGGATCAGGCCTTTGGTGGCAGTGGTTTTGCTGCAATGGAGGGGGACGAGGAGAAGAGCGGGGATTTCTACGCGGTGCTGGGGCTGAAGAAAGAGGGCTCCATGGCGGAGCTCAAGAATGCGTACAAGAAGCTGGCGATGGTATGTGGTGAATCGAGAGTCTCCCTTCTCCGCCGTGATCATGGCTGGTCTTGCCGTCGGTACATCGAACAAGCGCAATAGATCGGATCTTTAGATGAGACGTCGATTTCTTTCGTTTCTAAAACCTTTGGTTTTTGCCATCTTTACTTTTCGTTCAGTAATCTTGTCGTTTGTTCAAATGATTTGCTCTGCTACCTTCTCAAAGTTCACAATTTTTTATGAGTAGAATCTACCCGAATCGATACGAAGTCTTTGCTACCATTGAAAGCTCTCTTCTTTTCTTTACTGTTCGCAACAGAAGTGGCATCCCGATAAGTGTCCTGCGTCAGGCAATAAGATACGCATGGATAAAGCGAAGGAGAAGTTCCAGGAGATCCAAAAAGCCTACTCTGGTTCGTTCCCCTCTCCTCCTGTGTCCACCCTCCCTTAACCTGCTCTCTCTGTAGACCATATCATCGAAAGGTAACAAAGATACGAGATTATCGGTATCTGCCGCGTGATTAAGCAAAATTCTAATCGCTTTATTCCGCATAAAATAGCCATTTTTATGGGTTCCCGTGCTTCTATCATCTTGATGCTTAGTTCTCTCCGACTCCAACAAGCGATTCCTGTACGATGTCGGAGTTTACGACAAAGACGATGAGGAAGATGAAGAGGTAAGACGAAGACAACTTTTAATTCGCAGTGATCTCGTCGATCCTTTTTTCATCTCCTTGTGGTTTTCTATGCAGGGGATGGGGGACTTCATTGGGGAGATCGCGCAAATGATGAGCCAGTCCAAACCCAGCGTAAGCCACTGAATTTATCTGGAATCACCACGCGTACGGATGTTTTTAAGCTGAAGCGACGGAGTGTGGACCGTCGATGGGCAGGGGAGCGGCCACGAGAGCTTGGAGGAGCTGCATCGGCAGGTCGTGGAGATGTTCCTCGACGAACTGGACGCCGGAGATCGCTTCTCCTCGGCCAACCAAGGCGCGTCGTCCTGCGACGGCAGGGACGACGGCGGCGGTAACAAGCGTGGCAACTGGGCGGTGGACTGGGGCAAGGAGAAGCTGAACGAGTTGGGCCCGGGCACCGGCGGGTTCTGCTTCGGGGTGAGTCGCCGAGTCCACTCCTTTGATCTTATGATAGACGTAGTCCACCTCATCCATTCTGATCTGACTCTGGAATAGCACATTGCTGATATGACCTGCCAAAGTCGCCCAGCTGATGTGGCGAATTTTGGGTGGATGGCCCTCCCCTTGCCTCACCCATCACAGTAGAAGAAATTCATCAGTATTTGTCACTGTACGGACTTCCTCGTGACTCTTTCACATGCCCGTAAAGTTTAATGAATTCACGTAAAAGTTTCTCCAACTTTCTATTCAATTGAAATTTCTTGATCTTTAATTGGCCTGAGGGATGAGTCTCACTTGGGAGGACCACTGGTGAGTAGAATTATCATCCTGGTGAGTAGAATTATCATCCTGACTGATGGGGATATAAAAAGGAATAACCTTTGTATATAAACAAATATTAGAAGACTATAATACGCAGCGGAATTAAATAGAAGCATAATCAAACAGAATACCAAGATATACGTGGAAAACACCTTCAATGTGAAGGGTAAAAACTACGGGGCAAACTAGAGATAATCCACTATGAGAATAATGAATATACAAATCTCAATCTTTTGCCTTAAACCCTAGCAATAACCACAAGAGAATAACTGGGATACAAGGATCACGTCACTACCCATAATATCTAAAACCTCCCCAAGTAATCACAGCAAGAGTCTACTGTAGATTTGATCTAACCTGAGATGAAAACACTACTAGATGATTGAGAACAGTCTCTGCGTTGTCCTTGTCTTCTTCCCTTTCTTTCTCTTCCTTTTCTGCCTTGTTCTCCTTCTTCACTTTGGAATCCCGTGGCTCTTAAGATCTACCTCGTTGCTGCCTTTTTATAGCCTTTTTCTGCTTCTGAAATGTAGCCACCACACCCCCCTAATCTTAATTAGGGTTAGGTTAAGAGGGGGTGTGAGTTGTGGGCTGCCCTAGTCCACATGGGCTGAATATGGGCTATCAGCCCAACAACCTCCCCCTTCAGCCCATAAGGGAGGTTGTCCCATGACTCCTCAATGTGAAGCCATGTCGACTGCTCCGTTGTCATCTGTATGAATTTTCTGAAGCTGCAACTGCTTCTCTTCAAATACATATCGAATCCAATGGTATCTGACATCTATATGCTTTGATTTGGAATGAAACATTGGGTTCTTACACAAATGGATGACACTCTGGCTGTCACAATGCACTACATAATTTTCCTATTTCAGCCCCAATTCTTGTAAGAATTCTTTCATCCATAATATTTCTTTGCATACCTCTGTAGCAGCAATATATTCTACTTTTGTGGTAGAGAGAGCAATACACCTTTGCAACTTGGATTGCCATGACACAGCTCCCCCTGCAAAAGTAAGTACATAACCTGAAGTAGACTTTCTCGTATCTATATCTCTTGCCATATCTGCATTTGTATAACTAGTCAACACATGTGGTCCACCTCCAAAGCTTAAACAAACCTTAGAGTTCCCTCTGAGATATTTAAAAATCCACTTCACTGTTGCCCAGTGCTCTTTGCTTGGATTTGCAAGAAATCTGCTAGTAACACCCACTGCATATGCGATGTCCGGCCTCATACATACCATTGCATACATTAAACTTCCAACTGCTGAAGCATAAGGAACCTTTTGCATTTTTCTCCTTCTCCTCATCACTTGACAGACTCTGTTCTTAGCACAACTTGAAGTGACATGCAAGAGGAGAACCAACTGGTTTTGCGTTGTTCATACTGAATCTTTCCAATACCTTCTCGATGTATTTCTCCTGTGACAACCAAATCTTCTTGTTTTTCCTATCACGGGAAATCTACATGCCTAGTATTTGCTTTGCTGGCCCAATGTCCTTCATTGCAAAAGACTCACTCAGTTCCTTCTTCAACCTGTCAATTTTAGACATATCTTTCCCAAGAATAAGCATGTCATCAACATAAAGTAAGAGAATAATAAAATCCTCACCAAACCATTTGATGTACACACAATGATCTGAAGCCGTTCGTTTGTATCTATTTTCTATCATAAATGAATCAAACTTTTTGTACCACTGTCTTGGAGCTTGCTTTAGCCCATACAAGCTCTTCTTCAACTTGTAGACAAAATTATCTTTACCTTTGACTTTGAAGCCTTCTGGTTGCTCCATATAAATTTCCTCCTCCAAATCACCATGAAAGAAAGTTGTCTTTACATCTAACTGCACAACCTCCAAGTCTTGGCTAGCAGCAATACCAAGAGCAACACGAATAGAAGACATTTTAACAACAGGAGAGAAAATCTCTTCAAAGTCAATACCTTTCTTTTGACCAAAGCCTTTCACAACCAATCTAGCTTTGTACTTTGGTTGAGAACAATATTCTTGAGTCTTCAACCTAAAAACCCACTTGTTCTTCAAGGCCTTCATTCCATTTGGTAGTAGCACCAAATTATAAGTGTGGTTCTTCTGAAGAGCATCCATCTCTTCCTGCATAGCAACTAACAACTTCTCTTTTTGCTCACTTTCAACTACTTCCTGGTAACTCTCTGGTTCACCTGCATCAGTAAGCATCACATACTCATCTGTAGAGTATCTTCTGGAAGGTTGACGTTGTCTAAAAGATCTTCTCAACTGAGGTTCTGTTGGAACTTGCTTTCCTACTTCTTATTGCTCAACATGTCCTGCAGGTAGATCAACATCAGGCTCTACACTATCTTCCTACACATCTCCCCCATCACCATGATATACTGGAGGAATAACTGGGTCACAATCTGCTAATCCTTCTACAGAAGTCTTGGCCTATGTCTTCTTCTTCAAATCTTCAAAGGTTTGATCCTCAAAGAAGACTACATCTCTGCTTCTGAATACCTTCTGCTTTTCTGGATCCCAAAGCCTGTAACCAAAATGATCATGTGAGTAACCAAGAAAAATACATTCTTTAGACTTACCATCCAGCTTGGACCTCTCATTGTCTAGAATATGTGCAAATGCGTGACAACCAAATACTCTCAAATGCTTGTAGGAAACATCTTTCTCTGACTATACATGCTCTGCAACATCACCATCTAGGGCTGTACATGGTGATAAGTTGATCACATCAATTGCAGTCCTCAAAGCCTCATCCCAAAACCTTTTGGGTAGCTTGGCTTGTGAAAGCATACATCTAATTTTTTCCATGATGGTGCGGTTCATCCTCTCTGCAATTGTATTATGCTGAGGTGTACCAGGAACTGTCATCTCATGTTGGATCCCATGTGACCTGCAATAGTCATTAAACAATCCTGTATACTCACCACCATTATCTGATCTTATGCATTTCAATTTCCTTTTTGTCTCCCTTTTAACCCTAGCATGAAACTCTTTGAAGACATTAATAACCTGATCTTTGGTCTTCAAAGCATAGGCCCAAACTTTCCTGGAAAAATCATCTATAAAAGTGACAAAATAAAGTGCACCACTTATACCAAGAACATCAACAGATCTGCCAAGAGTTTTTGTCCTCAAAGGACCACATACATCTGTATAAACACGGTCTAAGGCATGCATTTTTCTAGACAAAGCAGCACTAGTAAATGAAACTCTATATTGTTTACCAGCCAAACAATCAATATAAGGGTTCAGATGTATACCTCTGAGATCTAGCAATACCTCTCTCTTGGAAAGAGCTTGCAGCCCCTTCTCGCTCATGTGTCCCAATCGCCTATGCCACAACTCCATACTGAAGTCTTTCTTTGTAGCATTTAACTGCTCACTATAAGCTTTAGCCTGCAACCTGTACAAAGTATGACATTTCTTTCCACTAGCTATAACAAGAGAACCCTTACTGAGCTTCCATTGCCCTATATGAAATATGCTTTCATAGTCTTCATCATCTAGTCTTCCAGCTGAAATTAAATTCAGCCTCAAGTCAATCACATGCCTCACATCCTTAAGCACCAACTTGCAGCCAAGGTTGGTCTTTAAATGGATATCACCCATGCTAATGATGTCTGCTGTGCCATAATTGTCCATCTTGACAACACCAAAGTTTCCAGACCTGTATGTAGCAAAAAACTCCCTCTGTGGTGTAGCATGATAAGAAGCACCTGTGTCAATCACCCACTCAAGATCCTAACACACACAAGAAAAAATATCATCAGAAGGAGACAAAATCAAATAATCACCACCCTGCACTGTAGTTGTAGTATTATCCTTTGACTCTGTAGACTCCACTTCTTTTCCCTTTCTCTTATTCTTCTTAGGTTGCTTACATTGGTTCTTGTAATGTCCTTTCTCACCACAATTATAGCAAACAATATCTTTTCTTGATCTTGACTTGCTCCTACCCATACGTGAACTGCTTCTAGACTTTGACCTTCCTCTATTCTCTGAGATAAGTGCTTGTGAATCATTCTGAGATGTTGCTGAACTCTTTCTTCTCAACTCCTCATTCAACAAACTGCTTGTTACTTGACTCATAGTGACAATACCATCTGGCGCAGAATTACTAAGGGAAACCACTAGTGTCTCCCAACTTTCTGGAAATGAACTGAGAAATAACAATGCCTGCAACTCATTATCAAGAGATATTTTCATAGAGGATAACTGGTTAGTAATACTCTGCATTTCAATCAAATGCTCAGCAATAGAAGCACCCTCTCTATATTTTAGGTTCACAAGTTTTTTGATAAAAAAAGCTTTGTTGCCAGCTGTTTTTCTTTCATAGAGACTTTCCAATTTTTTTTCAAAGAGAATATGTAGAAATTTCAGTAGAAACATAGTGAAAGATATTATCATCAAGCCACTGTCTAATAAACCCAATTGTTTTTCAATCTAACCTCTTCCACTCATCATCTGTCATAGTTGTAGGTTTTGCACTATCCCCCTGCAAAGGTCCATACAAATCTTTTTCAATGCAAGAGATCTTCCATTCTTGGTTTTCATATCATCCAATTATTTCCATTCAAACTAATCATGCGAGAAATATTACTACCCTCCATGTTCAAATACAAAAATTAAATCACCAAAACCCCGCTCTGATACCAATTGATGGGGATATAAAGAGGAATAACCTTTGTATATGAACAAATACTAGAAGACCATAATACACAGCGGAATTAAATAGAAGCACAATCAAACAGAACACTAAGATATACGTGGAAAATCCCTTCAATGTGAAGGGTAAAAACCATGGGGCAAACTAGAGATAATCCACTATGAGAATAATGAATATACAAATCTCAATCTCTTGCCCTAAACCCTAGCAACAATCACAAGAGAATAACTGAGATACAAGGATC